TTTTGAAGGTACGTCCACTTCGCATGTTCGTAATTTTGGCGAAGGGACAAGCACAACAGCCAGAGAAGAACCCGATGATGATTTCATTCTTGATGAAGACGATTTCATAGAGTGATACATCGGAAACGGAATCGGATACATCAACTTGCGTTGTAACCAAAATAAACACACAATCTTTGTTATTTTCTGAAAGAAAAGCATTTTATTTCGCCGGATCTGAAATAATTATGCAATATAAACGCGTGTTTTGTCGATTTCAACAGAAATTAGTGTTTTATTTTCGGGCAAAAATGAAAACAGTGGTCCTTTTTTGACAATGAGATTAAATCCGAAAGAAAACCTAATTTTTAACTACTCATACATATATTTTGAACTGAAAACATAGATTTCATAAGTATAGATATGCCCATATACATACATCTGATCACTAAAACTTATTTTAACTTGCAAAAACATGTAAGATACAACAAATTCGAGGGACGATCTTCATTTTTCTGCGTAAAATGCTTCACAATTTTGATCTGATTTTTGAAAAAGTTATCAGATCTGATGAGAGAAAATGTGCAGAAAAATGAAGATCAAACCCTAACTTTTCGGTCGAAAAAAGTTTTATACATGGCTGAAATGGCTGTAAACCGTTCGATCACTTTTAGCTAATTTTGACCGTCCGTTCAAGTGTTGGAAGATGTTCAACGTGTGTTTTATACATCAGCTACACGTGGAAGTAATTAACATGCCTTTCTGATGGGCCTTAAAAAAAATTTCGTCACTTTGTTTGTTTCTGTGGAGAGAGACAAATCTTTGGGCCGATAATGTGAATTTTGTTGTTTTTTTTTTGGGCTGTATACATATGCCTTAAAGTTGTATTTATTTGGGCTTTATAATACATATTTCTCTATAATACTTATTAAATCTAATTAAAATTAACACACTTAAATTAAGTTACATTATTAAGCAAATTAATATTATATAGATATATTTGAATTATGTTAAGAATTATTTACATTTATTTGTTGTCTTTATAATATTTTTAATAATAACAATGGCATTTATTTATTTGTACATAAAATATAATGAGTGATCATTCCATCGTGCAAAATAAACTGAAACAGGCAGATAGAATTTTTCAGATTCAAGGACATTCACCGTTATCAGATGTCACCAGTGGTAATCAAATTTTTCATTATTTGGTTATTACTTATTTTTCACTATAAATTTTGTTACATAAAAATTTATTTATTTTTTTAATTATTTGTATTTGTTTTATTGTAGTATTTGGAACTATCAATTCATCTACTTCGGTGAAACATATGTATTCTAACATTTGGAGTAAGTGTTTTGTTTATATAAATGTACTATATA